CAAGTTACTGAATCAGTTCAGATACAACATAATATAAATGCACAATGGCATATTACTCAACCATAAAGAAAAACGAAGTCAATGTTATTTGCTGGGAAGCAGATGGAATTGGTGATCATTATGTTAAGCAAAATAAACCAGTCTCAAAGATAAGCTGATTATGAGTTTTCACATATTATGGGGAGTGGGGCACGGCATGAAAGTAAAAGGGAAACTATTAGGGGAAAAGGAAGGGGGACTCAGACCAAGTAGGGAAGAAGGTAAAGAGAAGAGCAATGTGTATGGGGGGATGATAAAAATGTGTTTTGGGGTACAGTGAACTTTACTGCTGTTACTCAAGAAAGTATGGCTCCCTAAGCCCTTCCCCTTCTTCTGGGGGTCTGGGATGGAAACTGTGAGGGAAATGCTCAGTGTGTTGGGGGGGGCGTTGAGTTGAGTCAGTGGCATCCCCCTGAGGACCTCTCTTTTCCTCCTGTGCTCTTGCTGGAGTGGGTGGTCCAGGGCTTCATATTCTTTGGAGGCCATCTGGACCATGAGGTCCACCACCTTGTTGCTATAGCAAATTCACTGTAATGCCAGGAAATGAGCTTGATAAAGTGGTCACTGAGGACAATATAAGCCCCAGTATCAAAGGTAGAAGAGTGGGTGTTGCTGTCAAAGTCACAGGAGACGACCTGTGATAAAATGTCCTATTCCTGTATGACATAAGGGATAGGAGGAAAGAATCAGGGTTACTTGCTATCAGAAATTACTCATACTATTTGGGAATGTTATCTAAGACTACATTTAGATTATAATGATATATTTCAAATTTTAGAATAATTAAATGTTTTTAAAGATATGACTGAGGGCTGGTGACATGGCTCAGACATAAAAGCACTTTTCACCAAGCCTGATGACCTAGTTCAATACCTAGGACTCACATGGTAGAAGACAAGAACTGATTCCCAAAAGTTGTCCTCTGGCCTCCACATGCATGCTGCCATACATGCAGGCCCCCAATCACCCACAAAATAAATGTATGCATTTTTTAAAGGAATGATTGATATGCTAGGAAAGAAGAAAAATGGAATCATATAAAATGCTCAGTCAAAAACATAAAAGTGCTGGGCATAGTAATACATGCCTGTTACCCAACACTCAGGAAGCTGAGGCAAGAAGATCACAAATTTGAGACCAGCCTGGGCTACAGAGCAAGACCCCATATATCCAAAGCAAATAATTATATAAATCAGTAAAATAAATAAAAGTAGATTAAAAGCTGCAAATTAAAAAGAAATTCATTTCAAAAAGATCAGAAGGGAAGATCATTCTTAATGTTTTAAAAAAAAGCAAACAAGAAAACAGAAAAAAAGCATTTAAAACAAAAGCACAAAGAATACATTCCAGAAGTTCAATGGTGCTGTCTTCCTTTTGGACATATATGAGGGAGAGCAGAGTGTTATACTGAGAAAGTCAAAATCAAGAATGGACTGCAATGATCCATGAGAAAAATGTGAAAACCCCCTTCTACATTGCAGGAGCACCTGTTACTTTAAAGCATTCAACTTTTGGGGGAGGAGAGAAACCTTACAAGCCTTTCTTGCCTTCCAGAGTCTGTCTTTCGAGCTTCCAGGGACTTGGAATGAATATGATAAGCTCAATTAACATTAAAAACCTGCAACTTCCACCTGATAAAGTACTTGTGGATAAGAAGTCATGTTCAGGAGATGGGGATGTAGCTCAGGTGGTAGAGGGCTTGCCTAACATGCAAGAAACCCTGGTTCCATCTACAACACTTCATAAACTTGGCATGATGGTATATGCTTGGTCTCTTGGCACTGAGGAAGTGGGGGCAGGAGGATCAGAAGTTCAAAGTCATCCTCAGCTACATAGTGAGTGAGTTAGAGATCAGTCTGGAATACTTGAGACCTGTCTTTGAAAAACAAAACAAACTGCTGGGCGTGTGGCACACACCTTTAATCCCAGCACTCAGGAGGCAGAGGCAGGAGGATCTTTGTGAGTTCCAGGCCAGCTGGGGCAACAGGGAGACCCTGTCTGAAAAAGACAAAAACAACAACAATAACAACAACAACAAAAAAAACCAAACCAAACCAAACCAAAACAAAACAAAAAACAGTACAAGGTAATCTACAGATTGATTTAGAGTTATAGGCCTGGACCTATGGTCTTACAGAGTCATGGTGCTGAGAGCCTATGCTAATGAAAACTCATCAGAGCTGGTTAACTACATGGAATTTCAGCAGCGACAACTAAAACTACCATATAAAGTGATTGCCAAAATGCTGGGCGAGCACCACTGAACATTAACTCAGAGGATTATGAAACATGCCAAGGAATGAACCATCGCCTATAGAGTGGATCAGCACACCAGTCAACAGGAAAATGCGCAAATGACCTTTAGAAATAGGAAAAAATAAAGTCAGTCTATTACTCAGACATAACATTAGAAACAAAAAGAGTAACAAGAATAGAATGAAAAAGAATGAACAAATATCTATTCACTAGAGTGTACTATCAGAATTAGAAATGCCATGATTTAAAGCAGAAGGAAGGGGAAGAAGGACACAAACATACTATTTAAGAAGACGCAGATGAACTGATATGCTGACATTTTGGTGGAGATCTGAATGAAGTGAGGAAAAAAATTGTTGAGAATCTCAAAAAACCTAAGCAAAAGAAAAATGTTTTAGTGACAGAAACGAGCTTTTTTCTATTGAGGGATAGCAAGGATAGGTGTTTGAAGAGAAAGAAGACACACTAAGATCAGTCCAAGACTGAGGCACAGACAGTACAATGCAGACCCAGACTACAGTTACAGATAGGCATTCTTTCAAAAAAGATACAGGTACCTGGGGCCAGGGATATGACTTAGCAGGTAAAAGCACTTGCTGTGAAATCCTGAAGACCTGAGCTCAATCCCTTTAGCCTACAGTGGAAGGAGATAACCCATTCCCAAGGCATTTATACACCCATATTCAACACCTTTGCCCTTCAGTATGTCACCACATACTGAAAAACTTTTGTTTTTTTAAATTTTAAGATACAATCCTCTGATTGTGAATGCACAATGGAGATGTGGACCTACCACAAGGGAGAGGAAGGGGAATTTTAACTAAAGACATGCGGGACTAAGGGAAATGCCAGGTACAGACCCAATTGTGGATGAAATGAATGAATGTACAGAGGATGTCACTTAATGGTTGTAGTAATGCAACCAAAAAGCAACAAGGGTCTGAAAGAAGTATCAGAATGCAGAAGTGGATTATATTGAGAAGCAGAGAGAAAGAAAACAAAAACCCGCCATGGGGACCATCAAGAATGGGATGAGGAGGAGGAGGTGTCAAGAGGTAAGATTTTTAAATCAGAGACATAGAAAGAATGCCATTTGTATGAGAAACCTGGAAAAAGGGCAATTTAATATAAAAGAAAACAGGATTTTCTTATGGATTTACAGAATGAAATAATGATTAGGAAGTGAAACAGAAATGCACAGCAAAGTGACAGACAGGCTTAAGGCCTGATGCACTTACCAGGGGCTAGCTTGCAGATCACAGAACCTAAAAAAGCTGGAGCTTTAAAATGCTGGAGCTGCAAATACATGCTAAATTTTCACTGGCATTTCAAGGTATCTACAAGCCCATTAGTGTAGTGTTCCTTTGGTTTCAAAAGTTAAAACTCTTGATTTGAAGAGAACAATGTGGGCAGAGCCCTGAGTGGCATCCAGAGTGAGTTAGAGGAAGAAAAGCACTCCAGGCAAACAAGAAAGCACAGAAGGAAAGATGTCTATAGAATTCATCAACGAGTTTGTAAAAGTGATTGAAAATACACAGAGTAAGGAATAGGAGATGGAGTATAAGATTAAAGCTGAGATGGGCCAAGAGTTCTAACTCTGACCTTTTTGCAGATGTACATTCCCCAAGTGAAGCAACACAGGCCATGGTTGAGCAAAGTCCCTGCCTTAACTAGGTGAGAAAAACAACTCCTAGTACAAGCTGTTCTTGTATCAATTTTGCATGTGAAACAAGTGAATATACTAATATAAACTAGCAAAACTGATCTATTAAGGAGAAGGACCATTACTCACAAGATTCCAAACTTAGATTTGATGTAAAAAAAAGAACAAGATCAAAAATAAAAGTTTGACTAGCAAAACTATATTGAAGGCACAACTAATTTTCACACACAATTTCACAAAACAGCAACAAGGGATTTGACTGAATGAAGCACGAACTTTCAGTCTAATGTACTCATACAAACCCTCGGATTTGAACATTTTTCGTATTTCATTGTTGCAATGGCATTTTCTTGACATCCTGAAATATACTTTTGACATTTTCGAACTCCCAGCAATTGGGACCTCAGCTTCAGAATACAACTGTTCTTGGAAATGAAAACGATATTTTTAAACGCACTGTGTGATAGTCGCTTATGTCACATTTCTAAGACGTTCTTGGAGAGTCACACTTTTCTTTAAAGTTATCATTTTACTGGGCGTGGAAAAGAGGGTTCCCCACCACCAGCATCGTCACAGAAATGACAGGGACAGGAGGCCCCGCAACACGATGATTCAGTTTCTTCATATAAATCTGCTTAAGCAACAGCGGTCCCGGATGGGATCATAGGCGAATAGGGAGAAAAGTAATCACTAAGTAAAAATATCCAGCAACTAAAGCAAAAGGTGCACGCTGGCCAGTCAAGGACGATGTAAAACGGAGAAACCGTCAAGTCACCCGCGAACCGCTGGAGAACACCCAGTCCAGAGTCTGAGCGCAACTGGGCAGAGTGGTGGGGGTGGGACGGCCGGGCAGGCGGGACTAGAGAAACCAGGACAGCTTGCGGCTGGGCCGGGCCGGCGGCACGGGGACGACTCAGCCTTCAGTACCGGGACGACTGGACCCGCAGCACCTGCCAGCACCGCGGCCTGCACGCCCCGTCCCCCAGGCCGGCCTCTGCGAGAGAGCGGCACCGGCCTCGCCCACCCGGCCCTCGCCACTCACCGGGATGCAAACCGCAGTCGAGCAGCCGCCCCCAGTTGCCTCCCGCAGGCTCTGACGTCCGCATCAGCTGGCAGGCCTCCCCGCACCTGCCAAGCCCCAACCCAAACAGACACTGGCGCGGCATCGCCCCTCCGCCGCGCCCTGCCCCGCCCCCAGAGGAAGTGACGCTCGGCGCCTCTCTCTACCAGGCCGCCGGGGAGCGCTTTTCCACCAGTCTCCAGCCGGGGGCCTCCCACTCAGTCAGGCCTCTGGGCCCTTCTACGCTTGCGCAGTAAAGTTTGACCTGGGAGGTGGGAACGGGAGGCCGTGGAGGACGAATGTGCGCGTGCGTGTGGAGAGGCGCGGCTGGAGAGGTGACGGGCTATCCTTTTACGGTCTGTTAGAGCGCTGGCACCGAGAGGTGTTGCTTTTCACCTCAGGGCTGGACCTCGGAGCAGAGTCCCCACTTGCTTGCTTGCTCGTCACCACCATCCCCTTTCAGCAGGGCTGAGCCTCCAGGTCCCTGAAAGCCCTGCGCATGCTCTGTGTCGTCCCTGTTCCTGAGGGCTGCCGTGACAGCAGCCTGGGTGTGGGTTGCCAGGCTGGGCCCCTGCCATGCAACCGTAGTGGCACATCCCCTTTATCTGTTCCTAGGCATAACCACCAGGTCTAAGTGTCACTGGAAACGCTTTTGCATATATTGTACTGTTAGCATATACTGTCTCACCAATGGTCCCCTGGTCAACACGTCGGAATTCTGGTATTTTATGCATACCGGGGAGGTGAACTAGAACCCACCACAAGTCTAATGCTAACTAGTTACCAAGAATGTCGGATTACGTTCTCAGGCTTCACCTTCGAAGGTGTCAGTGCTGTAGGCTGGTAAGATGAAGAATATTGTAGTCCTTTAGAAAAGGACTTAGAGGAGCTGTCAAACTCACTGAAAGAAATTTTCAGTTAAGGAGGACCAGCATTATTAGAGAGGTTATGGCAGTAGCAGTAGGATTGTAAGTTCGAGGTCAACCTGGGTTACATAGGGAGACCTTGACATCTCCCTCCTCTTAAAAATATAATAGGAGCATGCTAAGTTAGTTTTAGGGGGTGGGGGAGTGGTTGGTTTGTACATCCTATTTGGTTGGCCCCAGCAGTGTATTAGCCACAGCTGTTATTTAGCTTCACATAGTTAAAGGTGAACACCACAAACTGAAAGAAAGGCTTGGAACTAACTTTGGGTCTTGATGTTCTATTGTTAAATAAAGTATCCTGACATTTGAAACGATGAAAGGATTGTTCACAACTATTTCCATAGTGAGAGATCAGGTTCAAGTTCTAATACAACAAAGAGAGGTGGGGTTTAGAACCAGTGGACAAAAGTAGTGGTCAATGGCTGGCAATTACAAAGAGGCGATATCACATCAAGGGTAAAAAAACATTCTTGATAAACGATTTAACAAGATCCTTACTGTGGGCTTGTGAAGGTGGCCAGTTTTCAAGGGTCTGGGATTCCTTTGGTATCAACTTAGAGGATCCTTGGTAAAACTGTACTTAGGTAGGCCATGACAGAGGCTATTTGAGAAACAGCAAAGGAGGAATCTAACTCAACTTTGGTCAAGGAGTGAGTCTGACACCATACACTTTCCTTTTGTGTTCATTTCTCAAGTTAGATAATATTTCTTCCCATGTCAGACATTTCCAAGTGACTCCCAATCCCCCTGCTCCTCCTTTCCCCCTCCCTTGCCCATTACCATACCTTTAATCAGTCACAAACCCTGATGCATATTACTGTAGAATCTCTTGCAACTTTCTTCAGCTCTGCATTCTCATTTTCACTGCCTTAGTTTAGATTCTCCTTGTTTGTTAATCTCACCTAAACAGGTTCTACAGTTTTAACTAACCTCTAACCCTGTCTCTTGTGCAGCTAAAGTCAAAACTGCAAATCCAGATTAGAAAGCTTTTGCCAACACTGAATCTCCAACAAACCGTATAGGCATGATAAGCTCTGACCCCATACTTTCCCACCCCTTGCCTATCACTCTTTACCCTCCAGCTACACATGTACTTCCCCAAGCCCTAAGCCTTTTCATAATTAGTGTCTCTGTTCATGATCTTGGCTCAGATTCCCTCCTGCCCTGTCCTCATACAGATTTGTCCTTCAACTAGGAAAATCTTTTCTTGCTCCATAGTTGTGCATGCTTCACCTATTGCCCTCACTTCACAGCACTGTAATTTGTTCATTTGTGTGCTGACCAGTTTCTCCATAGGCAAGTAGTATGAAGCAATTATATTTGTATCTTCTGATTCTGTATACTGGAAATTTTAGGGAGTTCCATATGGGTTTCCAGATGATGGCAGGGAAGTCGGTGTTCCCTCTTGGGGTTTCTTAGTCTCATTAATAAAGAATTTAAGAATGATTTCAAATGGAAGTTTGAGGACCATTTTTATTAGAGTTCAAAAGAAAAATACTCCAGGATAGGCAAGCTGTAAGTCTCCTCCTGTCTAGCAGAGGAGTGGGGAGGACGCTTATATGTTTGAGTTAATCCAGCATGGAGGTCAGCCACATGCTGTGGAGAGAGGCTTTAGAGAAAGAGTAAAGAAGCCCAGAGTACCAGAAAAAGCATACTTAGGTTCCAGCATCTGAAAGAAAGAGACAGGAAAAAGATAAAGGAAAAATTGCAACTTTCTGAGCCAGAAAGGTAGACAGACCCAACAGAACCTCATGATAGGGACTGTGCTAGGGGGTGGGAATCCTGGGAAGGAAAAGGACAGTCTCTAATTAAAGGAATCATTATTATTTCTATCTCTTTAGCATGGCTGGAGGTAAGCCCCCTTTCCTAGAGATAGTATCACCTTCCAGAGGGGTGTTCTCTTGGCAGGTCATTGGCTAGCCTAACTAGAATGTTAGGTCTCCACCTATGCCAGAGATTTCATCTTCTTGACCATAAGGAACTAGTTTTCCCTTAATGATCCTTTACTGATGTCGTGTCAATTGGACATATTACCCAACAAACAATAGACTCATCCTGTAGTGTAGCATTGGCTTTTAATTTTTCTTTGGTGAAAAAAAAATGTGTATTTAGAATTAGCCAGCTGGGATATTTAGGTGATCTCAATTTTGCTGGCAGCATCCAAAGCATCGTAATCAGGATCCAGTCAAACATTGGCCTTCTTCTGTTTATCAGGCCTGATCAGGGTATTGATCTTGGCCACATCAATGTCATAGAGCTTCTTCAAAGCCTGTTTGATCTGGTGCTTATTGGCCTTGATATCCACAGTGAACACAAGTGTGCTGTTGTCCTCTGTCTTCTTCATGTCTGGCTCTGTGGTCAGGGGGAACTCGATGATGGCATAATGGTCAAGCTTGTTTCTCCTGGGGGTGCTCTTCTGAGAGCATTTAGGCTGCCTCTGGAGCCATAGGGTCTTGGGCTGCTGAAGGTGAGGGACATGGATCTTCTTTTTGTTGCTGTGGGCATCTTTCAACACTGCTTTCTTGAGCTTTCAGTCCCTTTGCTTTGGCTTCAGCTTTTGGAGGGGCAGGAGCTTTTGATGCCATCTTTGCCTTGACTTTTAATTCTTATTCAGATCACTAGTTTGGAAATAAAATCAACTTATGATTTTTGGCCACTGGAGAAAGTTTTGAGAAAAGAAGAAAATTTTATTTAATTCCACCCAAAATAAATTCAGTAGTAAATAAAGTAGATTATCTTGTGTATTAACAACAGACTAATGCCTTTAGGAAATAGTTCATACTTGGAATAAAGATAAATATGGTACTTGTTTAACTTGATGGTCTTCTGAAGCTAGGTCAAACAGACATCCACATGGCTGCCATGTTGTGTGCTTGCTATGTTCACTCCATTTAAAAGGCTTATTGGTTACTTTATCTAGTTTGGCTATTTCCTTCCTCTATATCCATAGTCAGACCCTTTTTCTATTAACTGTTAAGGTCTGGTTCATATTAGCCTCTTCAGAGAACTTCTAGTCTCTTCATTATTCAAACAGAACTTAATAATGTAGACATATGATGTAAGATATTTTCCTAAATTACTTAAGAGATATTTCAGGAAATAATTCTAGGATAGTCACTGTGGTAGGCAAAGGAATTGCTTCCTAAAATATGTGGATGACCAGTGCTTGGAACCTGTGAATAATTTTGTTACATGGCAAGGGAATTTTACATATGTGATTAAGGCCACTGATTTTTTTTGTGTGGTTTCCTCTTTCTTTATTAGACTTTGTAGATGCCACACAGGTCTAAAAGTTGCTCCAAACCAGAAGTACTAAGGACAAGGGTGGAAATAAATAATTTGTTCTAGAGTCAAATATGAGTAGTGATTAGTGCCTGAGAACTTGGATCATGTCTCAAATACCACGTTCCAATGTATAGCTCAAATACCATGTTCCAATGTATTGCATCATGTTTTTAACAGTTACAGAATAAAAAAGTAAAAAATCAAGGCACTTTTCAAATATATTGTTGGGAAAGTCACATAGGAAGTTTACAGCAAAGCAAGACAATCTCTTTTATAGGTTTCAGATGTTATTTGATGACATTCTTACTTTTTGGATTGATGGAAGCTAGTGTTATGTTAATATACTCTAAAAGGATTTTCCTGATTGTCACAAAGATACTAGGTCAAATGAGAAGATAGCTCCAGTAAATTTGGCTCCAGACCTACAACATTCCAGCACTCTACAATCATGGAGGTCCTGATTAGTCATTCAACTTTGTGGAATCTTTAACACAAGTGCAGTTTTTACCTGGAAACTTCAGTTCCCATATTTACCTGACTCTGTCATGAGAGGCTCTTGGCTAACAATCAGTTAGGAGATGGAGGCCTTAGCCTTTAGGCAGCAGGAGCTGAATTTGCCTTCATCCTACTGTAAAAATTTAAGTATGTCATTTTATAAGCATAGTCTAGTAAATTTGAAAGCACATTCTTTTTTAGAACCTTCAAGTATAAGCGTTGGCCAGCTGATACCTTGATTTCCTTCTTCTGAGACCTTTGGCAAAAAAACAAGCTAATTCTCCCTGGACTTTTGATCTATAGAACTGTGACATAAGTTTAACATGTTTTAAGCCACATAATGTGTAGTATTTTGTTCAGTAGCAATGAAAAACTAATCTAATTAAGCTGTATATAATTTGAAGATATAAAAGAAAAAAAACTATTTTTACTCAGCA